GCTCGGCCCCGGCAAGCCCGTGGGCAAGCACAAGTAAGCGACCCTCTGCGCGCCCCCCGTCCGCGGCCGCGCAACCCATCCGGCGGGCACCGGGAGACGGCGCCGCCCCCGGGCGTCTACCCCTGGGTACCGGCAGCGCGCCGGGGCTTTCCGGGCACAGCCTCCCGTCGGACATCCCTTACCGGGCACAGACCGCGGGCACCGGCTACCGGCCGCGCGTCTGGGTTCTGCAGACAGCAGCCCCGGGAGACCGGCCGCCGCGGGCTCCCCTTGGGGGGTACCCAACCCTCGGTACCGGTCATGGGTGCCGTCCCCCAGGGCTCGGCCGCGGGCATCCCTTGGTGGAGAGTGGTTCCTGGGTACCAGCCACGGGCATCCCTTGATGGCCAGCGGTCCCTGGGTACTGGCCGTGGGCACTGACTGCGGGCCGGCGTGCAGGGCTGGGGGCCCTGTGCAGGGCAGGGGTGTCCCTCTATTTCGGTGCACACACACACACCCACCCCCCCCCGTGTCGAGCGAGGCTGGGGGGCCGCTCCGCGCAGGGGGGCGCGGGGGTTTTGTTTCCAGGAGGGAGCGGGCTGGGTGAGGGGGGACACGTGTGTGCTGCAGTCCCGTGCGGGACAGGGCTGGGTGGCGGGGACGGGGTGCACGCGTGTGTTTGTGAGGTTGGTGCGTGTACCTGTCCTGCAGGGCACGGGCGCGGGGCTGTGGTGTGCGGGAGGGGAGGATGGCAGTGCACAGACCTGCGCATGGAAATGCAGGCTGGTTTGGAGGGAATTTGCTCGTGTGCTTGTAAAGCACAGACTTACTAGAGTTTAAATATGTTTTCAAGTAACCTGGAAAGCTCAAGCAGAGGAGGAATGTAGGCTTTACACATACTATAGACTTTTTCCGCTCAATTGCAAAAAGGCTGTTACATTGGTGGGGGGCTCCCTTCCCTCCCTGCTTGTTTGCTAAGAACCATTTCAGTCGGGCTTCTTTGAAAAGAGGAGGATGTGGTGTTATGAACAAGCTGAAATGAATAAAGTAACATTCGAGACGAACAATACTGGCAGTGCCAGTGAGCGCTTTCCAAAACCCGTAACATTTTCCAGCTGCTCACTCTTAAAACATCAGGCTGGAGCTATAAAACTGCTAGCCACAGGTGGGTGTGAGGGAAAGGGGTTTCTGCGAGGGAGAGTGAGCCAAAACCACCCTAACCCAAGTAGTCACAGGTAGGTAGTGTTTATTAGTAGTGGCTAGTAGATCTGCTCGCGTTGGCTACTATAATAGCTTACTTACAGAGGGGGTTTGCAGTGTGTTTGTAAGTGAATCCTGGATTTATGGATAGACAGTGATTCTAAATTTCCACACGCACACATGATCTCCCTTCCCTCCAGCTAAGAAAAGTGGCTGGCCTTCGCTCTCGCGTGGCCCTGTGCACAGATAAATGACTCACTTCTGGAGCACGGATCCCTGCACACTCTGCGCCTGGCAGCCTCTCGCCAGGGCAGAGCCGCTTGTGTCTGAGCAGGCTGGAAATGCCGGTCGCTGCCGGGGGTTGTGGTGCCCATCCCAGGGGAGCAAAGAGAGCCCTCAGGGAGGGGCTGGGGTAGAGGTGCCGGTGCTGCCCCTGGGGAGAGCGAGGGGGATGCACATGGTCAGGGGGTCCCTGCTGGGAGGGAGCAGGGAGAGCCAGGGGGTCAGGGGAGGATGAGCCTGCTCGCACCTTGCTGCTTGACGGAGGGAGCTCCTGCCCCACATGGGCTGTTGGAGGTGGCGCAGCCTGCTCGGGGCCTCTGAACAGGGGCACTGGGGGGTTTATGGTGGTCCCTGGCAAGGGCAGGGGATGTATTTTGTCTTCATGTGTTTGCCATCAGTGCTTGTTCCTTCTTCATCTATCTTTCCCCACTCAGGGTGAGCCAGAGCCCCTCTGCTCTGTCCCCAGAGGGTGACAGTGGGGGGGCTGGGGTGGGCTGCGCACACCCACCCCCCTGCGCATGCACACTCACACTTGTGCACGCTCACTCTCTCAAACAGGAGACACCACAGTCCTTCTCCCCAAACCCTTCTGCTCCATTGTGATCGTCCCAGTCCCTTCCCTTGCCTCCACCTGCCAGAGATGTCTTCCCTTGCCTCCACCTGCCAGAGATGTCTCAATGGCAGCCAGCCCATCATCATGTCAAGCCCGTGGAGCTCATTTCTTTGGTCAGCCCCGAGGCTGCTCTCTGCAGGCCATGCAATGGTGACCAGGGGGCTGCGGCTGCTTCCCAGCCTGTGGCCAGGCAGCCGAGCCACAGCAACGGCAGCTCATGGGGAGAGCCATGTCCTCCCGCCTCACTGCACCTGCAGCTTGCGCCGGCCCATCTGCTCCATCCTGCTGACCCTCCATCTCCACTTCAGCTCTGCACTGTCTGCCTGTGCCCTCCTCTGCTCCCTCTCTGCCGTCTGCTGCATCCCTGTGCCCTTAATCCCTGCCTCACCGCACATCCCTGCTGTCTCTGCCCCTGTGGATCTAGTCCATCTGCTCCTGCCAGCAGCCCTGCCTTCAGCTGGAACAGCCTTGGCCTCCATCTGTCCCACCAGTGCTCCCACATCCTTCCCATGCAGCTTTCCTCCTGGCCACCTCATCCTTTGTGCGTGGGTTTGCTGCTCAGCTCAGGAGAGGTCCTGTGCCTGGAGCTGGCTGGTATCCTGTGGCATCAAGCCACAGGCACTATGGCAGGAGGGAAGAGGCTCTGCTCCTTGCACCACCCATCCAAGGGTTCTGAAGAGGTTTCCAGCCTCCATCTGGCTTGGGACCTGGGACGTGTCCCTGTCTCCATGGTAGAGGGAGCTGTGATGCTGCAGCTCCGTAGAGCGGCCAGCCTGCATCTCTGTAGCATCACACTTGGTCCGAGTGTGACAGTACCCACAGCAAGGTCTGAAGGCTTTTGGGCTGGCCCTGGCACTGGCAGCACTCCAGGAATTGCAGGACAGACCACCCCTGTCAGACACTGCTGGGGCTATTTCTGGGATGCTCCTCCCAGCCTGTCTCGCCACCCAGACCATGCTGTGCCAAGTACGGCCCAGCTCTGGGGCTGAGGCTCCAAGTGACCACAGACCTGGTGACGATGTGGCCATGACAGCATCAGCTGCACTCAGCACCCAGACTCCTGCAGTACAGTGGCACTGCAGACCTGCCTGAGGGGGCTTTGGGTTTTTTTCAGACAATTAAATTGCCAGTGAAAAATCGGCAGGTGAAGGTGCTCAGCCTGTTCCCAGCACCAAGACTGATTTCTCAGGCAGGGCTCAACTGTGGAGTGACCACAGCTGGGGGAGGACGGGGCAGCCACCAACTCGGAGGGACATTGTGGGCCAGGCACTGCCCAAGGCTGAGCGGAGAGCCCAGCACAGCCGAGGTGAGCAGAGCTGTGTTGAGGGTGCAGGGGTTCAGCTGCACCCCCTTAATGCAGAGGATAGATGCCAGCACCCACCCGGACTGAGGAAAAGCCTCCTTGTTGCTGGGTGCACCCTGGCACCCAGAGGGCAGGTAGCCGGCCTGGGCAGCGCTGGCTCCTGTGGTGGCTCTCGGAGCCAGTTGGGCAAAGGCAGGTGAAAGCCAAGGTGCCCACCAAGAGCAGGAGCCAACTCGCCCAGCAGACGGACCGGGAGCACCTGCCTGCCCCTTGCCTGTGCACCTGGCAGCAGGCTGGGCACTGGGGGACTTTGCTCCCTCCCCACTGCCTGCACTCCCCTGGGCCCCACGGCTGTCCCCGTTCCCACTGGGTGGGGTGGGCGATGCCCCCTTCCTAGCAGCTGCACAAGCTGGGGGGTCCCTCCAGCTCCTGCCCCTCCCCAAGACCTTGCTGGCAGTGCCAGGCAGGGCAGGCTGACCTGCCTGGGGACTGGTTGTATAGCTGGGCGCTGGTGTCTGCGGAGCAGGGGGTGATGGTGTCTCGCTGTGCTTCCCCCTAGGAGCTACTGTGCCTACGTGGTGCAGCGCAATGTGACGTGCACGCTGCAGGACGGGGCCGAGAGCTACGTCAAGGCCGAGTACCACAAGTGCAGCTGGGGACCCAAGTGCCCAGGGAAAGTGCTGTGAGTACGGGGGACGTCGGGGCATGGCTCCCTTCCCCTCCCAGCTTCAGGTTGCAGCTCTCCTCGGGCTCCCAAGCCCCCGTGCTACCCTTCTGACCATGAACCCCTGCTTTCCAGAGGGCAGCGAAGGGGGCTGAAGGGCTTTTGCTGGACAAGGCAGTCAATCAAGGGATCTGTCGGGAGGGAGCGGGAACTCTATCCCTCATCAGAAATAAAGTGATAGGAAGCTGGGCGGGTGCATGTGTGCAGGGAAGCATTTTGTCGCAAACCTGCAGTTTGGCAGAAAGATGTCAGTTAGGTGAGAGCCTGACTGAGAGGAGGAGAAAACAGTTCATGGCTGGGGATGGCTTAGGGTTTCCTGCCCCAGGAAAATATTTGCAAAACTCTCTGCCACCTTGTCAGTGGTGGAGGGAAAGCCCCCACCATGCTGCAGCCCGAGATGCAGCTGGGGCAGGGCGGCCAACTGGGGCTTTGTGCTTCACCACCCTCAACAGCCCGCAGCCAGGGATGCTGCTCTGTGCAGAAACGCTGCTCTCCTCCATCCTCCCCGGGCCCACTGAGAGCAACAGAGCTGAGCACCGAGGAGAACCAGGATGAGAGGGGCTTTTGTCAGAGCCTGGCACCCCTCCTGCAGCACCGTCACACGGTGCTGCAGCCGGCTGGGGCTCACCATGTGCTGGCGGTGCCACGGACTCCACACGCAGCCTCTCCCGGCAGAGATGGGCCATCGGACCCACTCGCTGACTTGTTCTTTCCTTTCTCCCATCACAAGTGCTTCAGCAGCATTTGGGGACTTCAGGATATCCTGCAGTTGCTGGTACCCGTGGAGGAGATCCCCAAAGCCTCTCCCATCTCCGTGGTGTCCTCTGCTTGGCCCCTCCAGCCCTTCAAACTAAACCAGGGTGTTTTCTGAAAGCAGCTGGACCTGCACAGCCTCAGATGCTGCATCCACACATGAGAGGGAAACATGATTTTTCCATCTACTGGGGCTATCATCTAATGTTTGTGCAACTGCAAAAAATACTTCCCCTCATCACCCTTTGGAGCAGGGGGAGAAGGGTTCAGAGGTGCCAAAGGGCTGCAGGCTCCTGTGCAGAGCCTGGCATGACACAGAGAAGGTGCCCTGCCTTCTGGATGCCATCCTCATCCTCACTTCACTTCTGACAGTGGCTGCATGCAGCAGTCTCCTGCTGCGGTATGTCCAGGCAGGTTTCTACACACTTAAGACAGAAGGAAAGACCATAGAAACTCAGCAGCATCTGTAAAGAGGAATAACAGAAGAGCTTGTTTTGAAACTGTCCCATGCCTTTGGGAAATTGATGTTGAGAAATTTTGAAGTGATTCAAAGAACAGAGGATGTGGGTTTGCTTTCTCCTGCCCTGCGGTATGTACGGAGGTGGCTGTATTGCACTGGGAGTCATGTGGAAGTGGCATTGCCTGGGGGCTGCATCCTGGGCTGGGGGCACTGAGGATTCGAGCAGGGACACGGAGCACGGAGGACGGGGGCTTGGCCCCATGTGCTGCCCTGAGCGATGGGATACGCAAGTGCCTTACACAGCCCTGCCGTGCGGCACGGACGGTTGTGCCGCCTCCTCGGAGACTTGCTAAATATGCTGGAGAAGAACAAGGGCCCGATTGTGCGTGTTGTTGCAAAACAGCAAACTTCAGGATTTTCATGCCGTGGTAAATTCAGATTGGAAATTTCCAAAAGGCGCGTTCAAAGCATTGGTGTTTCAGAGGTAGTGACAAATGTGCTGTCTTCAGCCCTGCGCAGCTCGGCTGGTGGGGGGAGCACGGGTGGTGGCAGGGTCCTGTCCCCCCTCTCCACCTCACGGGAAGGTGCCACAGAAGAACTGGGAGCCGCTGAGTCCTCCCCGCTGGGCTGGTGGGGACCCCAGGTAGAGCGAGAGCAGAGAAGGAGGGTGTTAGTGTCCCGCTGGGCAAGGCAGTGGGTTCGCACCCTTATTTGCTGTGTATGGGGGGAATCAATGTTGTTGTGCCCGAATGGGTGATGGAGAAACTCCCAAGGCATCCCAGCTAGAGGCAGGAGGAAGTGTAAGGAGCCATCGCTCTGTGCACACCGCACGGCATCGCCCTGGTAAACCTCTCCAGGGCTCTGCTGCCCCACTGCCAAAGCTCTCGCTTGCAGGGCCAGCCCAAGCCACTTAGGCTTCCCATCAAACTGATGCCTTCCACACATAGAGAAATACCTTTCCAAAGGTATTTCAACCCTCCTGGAGGCCTCAAAACAGGATTACAGTTGAGAAGAGGGGTTTTTTACCCCACTAAGAAATTGTCTAGGTCAATTCAAAATGCAAAAACACCCACAAGCAGCCCAGACCCCTCTTGGAAATGATCTGAGTTTGCAGAGGTTTTGGAATCACTTCCATAAGTTCATCTTGCGCTCTCCTGGGCCAAAAGTTGCTAAACTTTGTGGCATCTGTCACAGTGGCCATCTATCAGGCCAGAGACCAAAGCAATACACTTATAGGTGCTCTTCTAAACTAGCACATAGGAGTCTCAGGTTAAAAAAATATCCAGCAAAAATCCTCTCCAGAAACCACAAACACATAAATAACAGCTTGCTCAGATAGGCCATCCTCACCCCTGGGCTGTTTCTCAGGCTTGTCTAGTTGTGTTACCACCTTGCTGGGTTGAACTGTTCTGTCACCATGTGCTGTCCCACCTGCACCTCATAGTCCAGTCTTGGTCAGGGTGGGCACGTGTTTTTGGAGTGCTGGTTAATGCGCTGAGCCCCTGGACAGGCACTGTAATGCTACACTGAGCTCTGGTGTAGCATGAGCTCTTGGAGGAGGTGGGTCATGGTCTGTAAGTGAGGCATATGGGTCTCAGCCAGGCTTTCCCATGAGCCCGGATTTCCCACACCCAACAGGACCTATGATCCCGCTCTTCTCTATTGCTTGACATTGAGGTTGCTTCTCTAAACTGTCTTCTCTCTTCCTCCTCTCTCCTGGAAAGGTACCGCACCTTCTTCAGACCCAGATACAAGATTGGATACAAGACAGTGACCGAGCTGGCCTGGAGGTGCTGCCCAGGCTTCATGGGAGAAGGGTGCCATGACAGCCCGACCGACCAACCTGGCCTTCTGCCCCAACATCCCAGTCCTAAAATGCCTCCTGGACAAAAGATGTTTCCAATCCCCAGACTTCCTCCTTATCCAAAAAGCCACCCTGACCTGTTTCCAGGACCAAAGAAGAATCAGTATGGTGAGATCTCGCTCCTGCTTCACATCCCCAGGTTACCACACTACCAGCATGCTCTCAAACTTTCCACTTCTTTTGCTCCAGGACAGGGCATGAATTTGACAAACCAATATGGATTTTTGAATTTGGTGGTGTGCTTTCTGACTGGAGACCTGACATTTGACTGCTTTGAGGATCCCTTGGTTTTTCAGTCTAGTTTCTTTCAAAACACGCTGCTTCAAAATTGTCTTTCCTCATTGCTTTAAAGAGTTTTTCCATTAATTTTGGGGTGTTGTGGTAAGGCATTAGCTGTCTTTTTCTATCTGCTAAGCCACAGAAATGCAGCGTTCAGATCACAGCTAACCCCTGCAGGAGGTTAAAACCTTTGTGGGAACAAAAGCACAAACGCCAATATGGTGGCTGCTATTTGTTCAGTTTATTAACTGCGCAATTGCTTTATATACGCCTTTCTGTACATCACGAGATCTTTAGTTCCCTGTTCTTTCCGTGCATTGTGAGATCTTTCATGTGCCTCTATTCTTCCTGTACATTGCGAGATCTTCCAAGCGCCTCTCCCTACACTGGGGTTGATAGATTGTGTCTCAAGACAAAGGGCTGTGCTCATCACCTGCTGCTGAACTTGGGAGCAGAGGGCATCATCCCAAGAAGAAAGAGGGTTTCCTGATCAGCTTAAGAAGAGATGTAGAGGAAAGGAGGAAGGGTGGGCTGATAATTCGCTGAAATGGCAATAAGAAGAAGGCAGGAGCTAATGTTAGTATGAAAAAGGACTCAAATCTAGAAGATAGCCAAGGAGAGAAATTCAAGGAGCACCAGCCCTGACTGTGCCCTCTCTATTTCTTTCCCTGTGCAGGCAGGAAGCTACCTGGCCTCTTTGGGGACCGCCTGGATCGGTTGGAGGAGGAGGTGAGGCGCCTTTCCCAGTCCTATGACAGCCTGCACACCATGGTGAGTGGCCTGGGGGACCGCCTGCGACTGGCCATCCAGGAGGACACCACCAAGATGATCGGCTCCCTGATGAACAGCCCAGGCACGCCTGACTCAACGGTGGGCTTTGGCATCATTCCCGACGGCCTGGTGGATGTGGCAGACAAAGCTGACATCGCCACGTACCCTCCTGTGGGGGAGATCCTGACCAAAGTGACAGAGGTGAGCGACGTGCTGAAAACCAAGGCAGATTTGCTGCACGAGGTTCGTGGCATGGTCCTGGACCACGATGGGCAGATTAAGCACCTGCTGGAGTCAGCCCGGCCCTCTCCCCTCACCTCCATTGACCTGCTGGAGGAGTATGTGGACACGCGGCTGAGCAACCTGCGTGGAGAACTGCTTGATGGCTTCGAGAAGAAGCTGGGGAAGATCCAGACCACATGTGATTTCCGGATCCAAGAGGTGCGGCAGCAGTGCGAGGAGGAAAAAGCTGCCAACCTGAGGCTGCAGCAGACGCTGGATGGGAAGGAGCTAGAGATCAAGAAAGAGATCTCCCAGCTGGAGACCCAGATCCAAGGGCTGACGGTGGTGGAAAGCTGCTGCAGCAACCTGGACTACCTCACCGATCGCATGAATATCCTCGAGAAAGGCCTTCACAGCATCTCTGAGTCCCAGAAGAACTTGCACTCACGGCTGGATGGAGAAATCTCTACTGTCACCCTAGGAAACCTTTTTGAAGGGCGCTTTGAGGACCTAGAAGCCAGACTCAATGCTACAGAGAGAGAAATGGGGAGCTGCTGCTCTGGTATAGAGGACAGTATGAGAGGCACAGTGGTAGCAGAGGTGGACGGCATGAGGACTGCCTTTGAAGATAAAATGCAGACCCTGGAGGACAGGTTCATGACCATCGTGGGGGAGCTGAACAATGTCAGTTCTCCTGTGGGCATGGATGGAGCGGTGGTGCCCGTGCTGGAGGGGGAGCTCGCCAGCATGAGGAAACGGACGGATGAGACGCTGGATGTGTTGCAGAATCGCCTTATTACACTGGAGAGCACTTGTTCCCTGGGCTGCACCTCTGCCTCCAAAGACGTGGAGACCTTCCGGACAGAGATCGAAGACTGCCAGAACAAGAACCAGGACCTGCTCCTCCGGATGGACAGCAACTATGACCTCCTGCGCAAGCTGAATGCCACCATCCTGGAGATCCAGCGGCGAATCGAGGAGGAAGCATCGGGGTCTTTGCAAGGGGAGATCACCTTGCTAAAGATCAACCTGAACACCGTGAGCAAGTCTCTGACAGGGCTGAAGGACTCCGTCTCCCAGTACTCGGACACCATGACACACATCAACTCCTCGCTGGATGAGCACGAGCGGAAGATCGAGGATGAGGTCCACTCCATCCAGGAGAAGGTCAATGACCAAGGCTCCCAGCTCTTCTTCAGCAACCGGCGTGTCCTGAACCTCAAGGGAGACTTGGAGCGACTCAAAGCCAGGATCGTCAGTGACCTGAGCTCCTGCAAGGGCGTGGCCCATGACCTGCAGCAGGAGATTGCTCACTTTGATGACAGGGTGGCCCGGGTGGAGAGTGTCTGTGGCAGGTTGGGTGCCGTCACAGGGAGCCTGGACGGCATCAGGGACGAACTGGAGAAACACACGGGCAGTCTCTGGGACTACATGGACCACATGAACGGGACCCTGGCTGCCCACTCTCAGGAAATAACAGGACTGAAGGACAACCTGCTTGACTGCCAAGCCAAGGTCTCCGAGCTGGCGGAGCAGGTCGGCCACTTGGAAGAGCAGGCGGAGGGGAAGCAGCATTAGCTGCAGTGCCACGCGTGTCTTCCTTCTCCTCCCCATGAAGGACAGGATTAACTTATATCACACAGACTTGCTCCAATGTGACAACAGTTCTTGGGATAATTTTTTTTTAATTAAAAGATAAATTAAAAGCTGCTACAAACCCTTTTTTTTTTTTTTTTTAATCTTTTTGGCCCCACTTTTCCATAACTCTGCCATTACAGTACTCACTTCCTGATGCTCAGCAGCTGTCCCAACCCTGGTGAAGCAGGGTTGCTGCCTCCTGACTGGGGGCGTTGCTTTGGCTCCTGGGCTGATGACTCCAGAAGGACAATTCAGAAGGAAGCTGGAGGCGGGAACATTTTTTAAATTTTATTTTATTTTTGTGGATTTATCACTTCTTGAAGAATAAAACCCTGTAGTTGTCAGTTGAGGAATAGAGTTTCTCTGACCTAAAGACCACCTGCGTCTTAATCCAGGGACTGAGCAGAGCCAGGGCTCCTTACAGGGAAAAAATCTCACCACAGGAATTGCAGATTTCAAAGAACACACGTATTCACACATCCCCCTGGGAACTGCCTTCCCCTCTCCGAGATGGCAGCCCTCCTCATGTATGGTAAATCCATTTATACTGCACACTCCTTCATGCAAATGCACATGCCTTACAGAGCGTATGAGGATATGCATTAGGAAAACACACATATGCGTATATATATATATATATGTTATGTGTATGTATATTTTTGAACAGTCCCCTGTCACGGTGCTCATCTGATTGCAGGGTTTCCTCTTGTGCCCCCCATGTCCCTTGCTATATTTTGAAGAACCACACTGAGCAGCTACAAACTGCCACGGCAGCATTAGAAAGGGGGGCCCTGTGGCCTCTCAGGGCTGTCGTGCTTTGCAGTCGTGCTTTGCTGTGCTCTCTGGTTACACCTGGGACTGACATGAAGGGTTATGGAAAACTTGTGTCTTCCCTAAAGAGATGTGTGTCCATAGGTCTCTGCAGAGACCAAGCGCGGCATGGAGCAGTCCTGTCCTCCAGCTCTGGTTCTGTTTTATTGCTTAAACTGTGAACGTGGTTTCCCTCATCTCATTCTGCAGCTGCTCCAGGGTGTGAGCATGAGACTTTCCCTATCCGTCAACATGGGAACAGGAGTCTGCGTCCTCCTCACATTCCTCTGAGCCCGCTGAGATGCCAACAGCCCTGTGGACACGCATCAACATGGAACATGAGGAAGGGGGAAGCAGAGCACCTTTGAGAAGGCCTCTTGAGACCTCTCCCTCAGCTCAGCCTGGGAATGAAAAAACAATTTACTGAACTCGACTCTAGTTTCTCACAGGCAGGCTGGAAAACGTTGTACATGTTCTTCAGCAACTCCAACCTTGCCCTGTGGAGCAGGTGCCTGGACCATGCAGCTGTGGCACACAAAACCCACCTGTTCCAGGGACCCCAGCATGGGTGTCCTTCACTGCTCAGCCAACAGGGATTTCATTACCAGAAGGGATGAAGAGCACATTAAAGAGCCTCTGTCTGACCAGCTCTAGCACTTTATAGCAGAGGAACATATTTTTCTATCAGCTCAGCGTTGCAGCTCTGCAGCCTGCCACACCGGCTAGCCTTCAGCTCCCACCCAGTGCCCATCACCCTCCCCAGGGCACCCCTGCTCTTCTGCACCACAATTCCCCTCCCTGCTTCCCTCCACCCCACAAAGGAGCAGCTCTGTGCTCTGACCAGCACAAAGCAGCAGCAACTCCCAGCAGAGATGCATCTGTGTGCCTTTTCTCCTTCATGCTCTTCCATAAAAACTGGACAAGCTCCCTGGAACAGATGCTTCTAGGCTAGGGAGGACCACAGGGATCACCAAGTCCAGTTGGCTGCATCGTGTTACCCTGATGCAGTAGAAGCTCTTTCCCCTGACAGAGGAGCACGGGCCATCAGCTGTACATGCAGGGAGAGGGGACCTGACCTCTCCACCTTGCTTAGCCTCTGCTGCTGCTGAGATACTTCTCCAGCAGAGGAGCAACCTCCAGCTGCCTTTGGGCATCCTGCAAAACCTGCTCTTAGACAGCAAAACCTATTTTCTTTCTCCCAACCCCTAGGAAAAGTCTCAAGCCAGCCCTTGGCACTTTGTGAGGGGCCAGAGGAGCCCTCACCCCAGCCCACTCCACATCCTCCCACATGAAGGAGAAAAAGGGCTGCAGCAACCAAAGAGAAAATTAAGCCAAGGGCCAGGCTCACCCCTTCCCAGGCCAGGACTGTGAGAGAGCAGCTGAACAGCAACAGCTTCTTGCAGCACAGAGGGACCTAGGACAAGGAAGAAGTCTGACCTTCCAGAAAATGGTGCTATGTTTGGACTATTCCTGACTCATCACTTGAAGCTACAGAGATGTTCTATTTCAGTTCTCAGCTATTCATGTTTAAAAAGTGAAAGGAACTTTGTACAAAAGAGGGCATTTTAGGGTTTGGTTTGTTTTTTTTGCTTTCAGAGAGGGAAGGAGATGGTGCCCGTGCGGTTGTCCTTGCACAGGCAGCTTTCCAAGGCAGTCGATAACTGATCTTGTTAAAAGGCTGTGTTTTATTGTTTGTAAAACCTTGTACATTTGTTCAGATTTTAAAAGCTGAAACAGTGTTTGTACTGGAAAGGAAAAAAATAAAGTATTTCTTGCTGAGGTTTCCAGGATCAGAATGATGTATGTGACTTAGACAAGCAGAGCTAGAGCTAAAGCATGGAGGCAGGCAGACAAGGAATAGATGATTTACACTTGCACACATCAGTTAGGGCAGAAGAAGGTAGATGCCAGACTGGAGGAAGGAGCCCAGAAGTGCTCCTGCCTGTTTTATTTTGTGTAGTTACAGCTGAGAGCTCCCAGCACAGGGCAGCAGGCTGGCTGAGTGCACAGCAGTGTTGGGACAGCTGAGCTTTACTTGAATGCTCCAACACAGGGGCACAGGAATAAGCTCCTGCCCTGACACAGGACTGTGACAGGCTACTGGTACAGGAGTGATTCACCCCCATACACACACACATAAAACCAGGCTTTGCTTCCCGTGTTAAATACATTTTTCAGCATTACCTGAAGTTAGGAGGAAAAAAAAATAAATTAAAAAGTCCTTTTTTAGTGCAGCTGCTCCACAGGCTGAGGAAGCTGTAGGTCCTGCCTCCATCTCCACCAAAACCAGAGCCCCTTGGCAGGGCACTGCAGCAGGATAAACCCAAACATGTTTGTAAAAGGACACGGCTCCCACTTCCATGCGCAGAGCTACAGCAGACAAGAGGCAGCCTTTTATTAATTAAGGCACTATTTATTAATTATTGCTATTAGTGAAGAACACTCAAAACCCCAACAGCTTCCATCTGCTTTAATGAGTTGTTAAGCCACAGGACAGCTTCACTCCATCAGCTACCAAACTGCAGGGAGCTGTACTGTCTGGGAACACTGGTCATACTGGAGGTAGCAATAGCTATGCCAGAGGCTCATCAATACATAGTGACCCATTGCCACCTTTAAAACAGAGCCAGGCTTTCAAGGTGTTAAGAACATTAAGAAGAGACCCAGCTTATAGGAATTTTAGTTTAGTAAACTGAGTTTTTGTGGACCCACTTTGGCCCTCAGAGAAGTGTTTCTAGTGCAGAACATAACCCGTATTATAAGTGCAAAATAACCCGAGCTGCAAACAGAGAGGAGGAGATGCATCTAGAGCATCCAGTGCTCGCAGAGGATGCCAAGAGAGCTCTAGGTCAGGTCTCCACAGGTAATGAGGTCAGGAGAAGGCATCCAAGTCAATGTCAGGAAGTGGAGGTCTCCAGTAGGCAAAATGGCTGTACTCTGGACACACCAGAGCCATGCTCCCACTCTGTCCCAGAGGAGGGAAGATCAACTCCACCAGCTCTGACAGCCGCTCATACCTACGTGGGTAAGAAAGAAGCTGCATTGGGGTCACTGGGGTTTTGTTTGCTTTTCTACCCCATGAGATGCTTCTCGGTTAAAGCTAGGTTAACCTGAAAGTGCTGAGGAACAAGCACATCACTTACGTTGACTTGTGGTTCTTCATGAGCTCCTGGATCAGCTCTCCCTTGGGGTTGACCGTGAATATGCGGCTCTCTGGCAGGCCCACTTGCTTGTAAGCATAGACATCCTGCCCAAGGAAGGCCAGCAAGGCATGAGAGCTGCAGGAATGCACCACCACCACTCCAGCCTGAGCCCTTCCTCCCTCCTCCCCAGGACACCCACTCACGCTGGCTCTGTTCCCAAAGGCTGCATAGAAGGGCACCTTCATGGCAAACAGGTTTTGGATGTCCATCAAGCAGGTTATCTTGAACACCTCTGGCTTCTTCTCAATCACCTCCCTGCAGCACAAGACACAGGCACAGAGCAGAGGTCAGAGTGGCATCAGCTGGCCAGGACTGTGGCAGCCAGGCTGTGTGGGGCTCAGAGAAGTGATTTGAAGGGCACTTGTACATCTAGAGCTTCATCATGAAGCTCCAGGGAGGGCAGACAGGCAGTTCCCCTGCTGCCTCCCATGAAAGCCATTCTGCACCAAGGAGGCCAGAAGCAATTTCAGGCTGTGACATCCCTCAGCATCGAGCTGGGAAAGGGGGGTCCTGTCCCCAGGGACACAGGGCTGGGGAGGAGAGGACACAGTACCTGTGGAAGGCAGAGAAGAGACTGCTGGGGGCGAGCAGGATGGGGCCCTTGGGGAGGGCACAGCCTTGCTCATTGACCCATTTGAGGTAGCCTTTGGTGATGTGTGCCATGCCGATTGCCCTGGCTGAGCAGTAGAGGAACCTGTAGCCATTCCTAGAGAGAGCACAGGGAAGCCCTCTGAGCTGTGCCCTGCACAAGGCATCCTCCCACTCCTGCTCTGAGGTGGAGGAGGAGGAAGAGGGAGCGTGAGGCTGAACACCTGACTTAAGCCCAAACCCTGTTCACCCCTTCAGCAAGGAAGATGGCTTCACAAACAAACTCGCCCTGAGACTCAGGGTAGAATGTATCCTCATCTGCCCCACTGCTGGGAAGCAGCACTGGAGGGGGTCCCTCTCTCACCTTCCAGGCCTGCCCAGTAGCTGCATGCCCATCCCGGCTGCAAAGCACTCTTCACTGCTTGGTACCCACCACCCAGACAAGACCCCCAGGCCAGCACATTTATGACATGGGACTGGCTGCCTGCGGCTTGTGGGGAGGTGGACACAGCCTCTGTAGAGCCCCTGGCAGCCAGCACAGCTTGATGGGCAGCTCGGGCATCGAAGGTGGCAGGAGGCAGCCGAGGTGTCACCGAGGGCAGCCCCAGCCCTGCACCCAAAGCCCCCCGGGGAGTGGGAGCCCCCCGGGGCTGGGACAAGCCATCCGCGTGCTCACAGTGCCTCTTAGTGGCCACAGGTGCCAGGGACGGAGCTGAAGGCTGGGCTCCGAGGGGACCCACTGCCAGTATCCTCCAGGACTCACTGCCAGCCTCCACCGGGTTGACAGCATCGCACCCCAGGAGTATGGGAAGCTGTAGCTGGGCACCCAGGGAGGCAACCAGCACCCAAATTCTGGGTAGTCCCCTGCGCCACTGCTGCACAGCAATCCGAAGGTGTTTGTCTGTGCCTGTGGCCTCTCAGGTGTGACCCTGTGTGATCTCATCCCTTTAGGTGCTCAGCTGCATCTCCCTAGCAAAGCCTCCCCTGACACACACTCCTCCCAGGGAAGGCAATGCCAGCGTCTGCTCCCAGTGCCCATGGGAAGCCCCCTGCTTTCACCCCCCCAGTGTCATCCAGACAGCACAGCTAGCATCAACCACCACTGACAGCAGAAAATCAGGCTGTTTTGGCCAGCACCAGCGAGTAAGGAGCACTGACTGACTTCCACTCAGTCTCCCCATCTTCCCACTTCCCCTTGGCCTCAGTTGATCTGGTACCTACAGGTGGATTTTGTGGAAGAGTTTAGCGATTCCATGATGAGTCCAGTCTTTTCCCAGATGTGGTAAGATATGCCCAAGTGCATCTGACCTAGGAGGAAAGGACACCAGGTGAGACAGATCCAACGTGGTGGGTACCCTGCCATGATGGGGTTTGTGGTCCCTCCTGGCTGCTTACACAAGCCTTGAAAGTACAGTTCCCCTAAGGTGGGGGTGCAGGGATGTGGGGTGGGAGAAAGGCCTTTTACTTGGTGATGGTGCCATCGATGTCCGAGATGACCACCTTGTCATCCCAGTTCCACAGGTAGATAGTGGCCTCACAGCGACACGTGCCCTGGTACTGAGTTGTCACGCTGAACGCCACGTCATTGGGGCCATCCTGCAGATTCAGCCTTCCCTGTGGCAGAGGGGGAACAAAAGTGTAGCACTGATTCACACCAGTCCAAGGTTTGCCAGAGGTCAGACTGCCACCTGGCCAGACCAGAGACTCCAAGCCTCTACAGGGTGGCCACTCAGGGAAAAATACTTGGATGCCCTATAAAAACATGAGGTCAGGAGTAGAAAAATCCTTGTTTCAGAGTTGTCTTCAGCCCTACACACACAAGCAGGCATTGAAGGAGGAGGAGTAAAATACATACAATTTGTTTGGAGGAGAGCCGCAGGGATTTCTTGTAGGTTGGGAGGGATTTCTGTGCAGGGGCATCCATTGCCAATGTGTCCCCAGGGTGCAGGGCCTCATCACCACTGGATGACCCCTCTTCCTCCTGCCTATACAGAGAAGAGCAGAGCATGTTTGCTTTACTCTGCAGATCACAGATTTCCCCATTAGCACCAGAGAAGATCTGAAGGGGACCCAGGACAGCCCACCCACCAAGAAACAGCCATGAAGCTTGGCTGGGTCAGCCAGAGCCTTAAGAGAGATTTCTGCCCTTATACATTAGGTAAGCTTGGGAGTAACTAGTCGTTTATAAGGAGAAGAGATCAGGAGCATGTACAGACTCCTAAAGGAAACCTGGGGCGGGGGGAGGCACTCACCTCTGCTGAGCAGAGTCAGGCTGCAGTGTCCCCACGTTGGCTTCCCCTGGCCTTGGCTGCTGTAGGCAGAGAGTGGTGTCATTAGCACCTCGGTGCCACTGGCAGGAGCAGAGGCTGCCACTTGGAGCAGCAATACCAGAAAAGAGGTCGCAACGCATCCCCCTGCCTTCATGAGGACACTGCCCCATGGAAGAGGAACCACAGGCTGATGCTGTGGCAGGGCAGGGAGACCAGCAAGCACACGCAGTGCCTGGGCTGTGGCATGAGGGGCACGTAGCAAGGGGTCTCACCATTACAATGTCCATGTTATCAAGTGCCGTTCTGCTGCTCAGGTATTAGCAGACCCAAGGGGACAGCAACGACCTTCAGAAGTCACCTTGCCAACAGGTCCCTCTGGCTGTCCTCATCCTCAGGCCATTCCCAGGACCCTGCTGCTCTCCTACCCCCACCCCTGCCAGCCACCAGAAAGGCACCTGTGCCCTGGGGACAGCCACTGCTGCAAACACACCTCCTCTGCTGGGAATTCTCTCCTCCTCCAGGAGAACCACCACCTTCTGCCTTTCTTGGGCATCTTCTCCTTCACCAGTTGGTCGATGGCACTCTGTGAACATGGTAGAATGTTGGATAGAGTCAGTTCTCAGCCCAGGGAGGCTCATCTGCCAAGAGTCTAAGGAGATCCTTGTCCAAATTGTCTTTGCAAAATTATTCACAGGAAAAGATGTGTGACCCCTGCCACATTGTGAGCTGAGATGGTTTTGCAGCGAAGGGTACAAAAACACTCACTCAGCTTGAGGGGAGGTGTGGGGGTGAGTGGAAATCTGAATGCCTCACGCAGACCAAATCCTCCAGACTGCTAGGGCCCCTGGCTCTGGCCAGCCTTGCACAGATACAACCATCAGAATAGGAAATTTTGACAAGGAAATCTCTACTCTCCAGGTATCAGTGGTACCCAGTTATCAAAAAGCCACCCTGAGGTCCCTGCTGGGAAAAGAACAGACCTCAGGGTTTTTGGGCTGGAGTGATGTTCAGCATCCCAGACTCCCTGCAAGGCCCCAGATGGACAGTTTGGCCTCTTGCAGCCCCACTGCCCTCTTCAAGCCCTGCTGAGAAGCATGGCCAGTAAGTGTGTTATGCCACTGACCTCAGGAATGTTCCTCTGGAAAGCCTGCAGGGACAGGATCATGGGAGCAGCCACTGCCCAGTTGTAATACCTGAAAAAAAAGCAAGAGGAATGGGAACATCACCATCCTGCAGCATGGCCAGAAGGTCCCCTCCCACAACTACTGTGGTATAATCATTGTCTGGGATGGAGTCACACTCCTACAGGAGTGTTTTTGTGGGGACAAAAGTGCCACAGTGGTCATCTTGGGATGAAGCAGCAGGAAGAGCAGGCCACTCACTTCTTGTTGATCAGTATCACCAGGTTCGGGTCATCAATAAGTCCTGGCTTCTCAGCAAACTGCTGGTAGGAGACCATGTGCTCCATGAACTTTTCTAGTGGGATAGAGACTGTGTCATGCCACTGGTATATATAATGGATTTTGGAAGAGCAGAATATCCCCCTCTCCCCTCCCACCTACCATGAGAGATCTCCCTGCTGCCCCCCAGGCCTCCACATAGTGACAGGGCAATTGTGGGCATCAAATCAGATTCTGAGTCCGTGGGGCTGTCAGCAGGCAAGTCAGATGGCAACTGGACACACAGAGGGTTGCTGGGGTCTGCAACAGGCTTTGAACTCTGCTCTGTGTCACTACCAGCAAGAGAAGAAACAATGGTAACATCAGCCAATAGCTTTACACATACCTCCATTCTTTGCTGCAAGAGAACTGCTCAAGAAGGTCTGAGCTTGGCCAGCTGGGGCAACCCATACCTCCTGGGGAAATAGAGAGCCACCTGCTCCTCATCCAGGCTGGAGAGGTCTTCCAGGTAAACATCACTGGGACCCAAGTGAGAACTTCTTTTGATGGATCCTCAATGTACAGACAGAAGGGAGAGAGCTTAGCTGAATCACCCTTCCAACCATCTCAGCATCTAGTGAGAAAGCTAACAGCATTTTCCTCTATCATATTTGCGTACCATATAAAGAGGGCATCTATTTTCCTACTTTAAAAGCTGCCTTAAATCAACAGAAGTACCTCAAGATATCTGAACTGGCATAAGACCACTTGCCAAGAGGACACAAAGGACAGGCCAAAGTCCTGCCGTGACAATCTGAAGGTGCCATTTGAAGTCAGAACCATACAGGACAACGTTTTGTGATCTCCCTCTTTGTACCGTGGGGAATCCTAAACATCTCTTCTTCAGGGAGACAATTTTGTTCCGAATTTATGCTGACTGGAGGAGTAAGGTTGGTTAGGACAGGTAGCAACATAAAAGTCAATAAATACACTGTCAAGAGAGACATATGCATGCTTTGTCCTGTGATTTTTTTCCACCTGACTTGTCATGCTTGGGATGAAGACAGTCAGGACAGGTGCTGCCAGGCACTTCAAGTTAAGGTATGGTCTAGTCTGCTGAGAAGTCTAAGCATGCAAAAACAGGGACATCCAAGGATGGACTTCAGGAAACATAAGGCAAGAAAGCCCTCCTGGGGACCTGGGTGGTCACTGAAAGGAGGAAACCTGAGGAATGTCTCTTCAAAGCAAAGGAGCTGGTGGCACGTGGAGAGAGCAGACATCACACCCAGGGCAGAGATCAAGAAGTTACACTGAATGAACAACCCAGTCCCCCACCCAAGTCAGTCACATCTGCAGGCTCAAAGGCCACCTCCAGCAGCACCAGTCACCCACTCACCTTGTCTCCTCTGGCTTTCCAGCTGGGGCTTGGGGCCCTCCAAGCCCACATGCCTTGGAGCAGCAGCTCCCTCAAAGGGCTCCGCATCTGGCTGAACCTCTGGTACAACACTCCAACCTCCCTCCTGTTTCTCTTGAAGGGCTGAGGAGGCCTCCAACAAGCTCTCTGCCCCCAGAGCACTAGGGATGTCCTTCAGCTTGGGTAGGCTGTTCTCACCCTGTGGTGCGGGTGTTGGCTCAACAACAGGCACAGCGGAGGAACAAGATACACTCTGAGGTCCTGCTGGGCTTGGACCTTCTCCCAGACCTTTGGAGGCGGCAACAAGATGAGTTGCCTCATCCACTGGGACTGGTGTCACAGAGATGGTGGTTGCTGCAGTAGCAATGGTCGTTGTGGACTTGACTAGTTCAACTCGTTCCAATTTATTCACCTCAAGAAAGCAGAACAACAGGTTTGAGGATGGGAAGTTGCCCAAAGCATCAGGCAGAAGAGAACAACTCCTCTGAAGGTGCCTGGCCACAGCTGCCCCTACTTTCTGCAGACCTTTCAGACATTCCTCTTCCACCAGCTGCTAGAGGAGAGCAAGAGCAGGGACTCACCTGAGGGAGCCTTCCCCAGCTCCACTGCATGTGGGATTCGGCTCCTAGAGCAAAACTCTCCTGCGGTCTGATCTCCAGCTCAGAGTCACTTTTGGGAGAAGACAGATGGCCCAGGGTGGGGCTACAAGAAGAGAAAGGAATGCAGACCTCATCTACCCTACAGCCCTATGCTTTCCTATTACTGCAAGAACATTTAAGGCTAAGAACCCTGTAAGGTTAGTTTCCCATAGAGTTAGTTCTGGCCCATAAAACTATCACTTACAAATGAGCAAGTCCTATGGGAAGCTGAGATCCAAGGAAGCAAAGTTCTATGCCACCAGCTGTCCAGAAGCAGCTCAGCAGCTGATGCAGGAGAGCCCTGCACACTCAGGCTTCTTACATCCATGACCATGGCCAGAAGTGTCCCTCACAGGGTCCAAGAGTTCCTCCAGCAACAATACATCAGGCCAGGACAATCCTCCTCTCCTGACACCCACAAATCCCTTTTCCTTACCACCTTCCCAGCCACAAGGCACATCCCCCACTCTCAGCAAAGCTGAGGAGATCACCTTGGCTCTGCCTGTTACCTGTCCACAGAGGCCAGCTCCCCATCAGAGTAAGGGTGCATTTCTGGGGACTGCAACAACCCAGTTTCTTCTTCAGGGAGATCAGTGAAGGAGAAATACACTGAATCACTGCAAAGGAGGAAAGAGGTCAGTTATATCACTCAAGCATGTAGAAAGCTGCCGATACTCAACTTCACCATTTCCACTGGCTTTCCACTCTATAGGAGGCTGGGCCCCAACACAAAACACTACCTCCATGTTTCAGTGGTGCTGGGTGTCTCCAAGCAGACCTACAGCCTTGACTCACTGCATCACCCTGCCCAGACCGAACAGCTCACCTGGGGGCTGGCAGCTTGCACGGCTCCTCCACAGACATCTCACTTTTGGTCTCCTTGCAGGCTTCTAACTCGGAGTCTGACACCTCCTTCCGCTTGGGCTTCCTCCTGCGTCGCCTTCTCTTGCGCAGGGTTGCTTCAGCGTTGGAGGTCTCCTGCTCGTGAGAGGGTTCAGCAACAACCTGCAGGCTCTCCTTCCTGGGGATAGGGGATGTGCAGAGGCAGGAGGGGATGCTGCCCTATCAATGAAAAAAACTATGAGAAGCCCATCAGCTCCAGCACCTTCCTTTTCAGCCTGGCAGCTCATGACTCTCATCCAGGTGACATACACCACCAGGCCCTCAACGTGGGGGTGGTTTTGTGGCTAGGCCCAAAGGAGAGGTTTTGTTCATACAACATGTGAATAAGAAAAGAAGCACGGCTATCCAGCCACAAGATGTTAAAGACATCTTTAACGCAGTCAAGGAGAGGCAGGCAGGAGATGGCACCATGAGACCAGAATTACAAAGGCTGCAGATGGGATTCGGATCTAGAGCCCTCTCCCTGCTCTCAAACCCAGCCCAAGCCAGCAGCGACCACAAGTCAGCCTGGGAGAGAGCTGCCAAGATTTCTGGAAGCCACAACTAGTCCCATCCTGCTTCCCAGTGGAGTGGGCAGCCTGCCACAGCATCTGGCTCACTCTCATCCCTGTCACAAGATTCCCCCAAGAGGCCAAGCTCTGAGATATCTGCCTAGCTGGCCAGCAGCCATGCCCATTGATGGAGGCCAGTCTGGGATGCAGATATTTGGTCTAATGCTTCCTCAGAGTGCTCCAATAGTCAGATCCTCCACGCTGGTTGTAAGATCCTTCAAGTGGGAACCTTTCTGGACACACACAACAGAGGGAATAATGGAGTCACCCTGGGGAAGATGTCCAAACCCGGTTCTTCCACCTCAAGCCTGCACTTCCAAGCAGTCACAGGAGGACCAAGACCAGTAGTACTTCTTCATTACCAACCTCATTCTCCTCTGATTCCTGAACAAAGAAGGCCTCTCCATTGTCACCCAGCTTCATGTGCAGGTCCACAGGCTCCCCATTGATTTCAATGTCAACCTGGCAAGGAGCAGAAGAAGCCTGTCCATCTGAGCCCACTCACCCATCAGCATACAGCAAGGCACTTCCCAAGGGACAGGACAGGTTAGGGTTGCTCAGAGGGCTGACAGCCACCCCACCTTTGAGGCAAGGGACCCCTCCCAATTTTCCTAGGAAGCTCAGTCTTCTTTGGAAGAGTATGGGTTTCATTCAGGGGCATCCCTCAAAAAATTGGCAAGCACCCCTTCCAGCAGGGCTCCCAGTCCCTCAAACAGTTTTTCCATAACCTGTAGGTTATGGAAATTCCTAGGTCTGAAGACACCAGAGAGGAAGCATAGTCCCAGGGCAGGCACCACTTACCACCTTCTCCTTGGAGCGCAGCACACCCAGTTTACCAAAGCGCACATGAAACGGGGAGCACTGGAAGGAGTTATCAGGCTGCCTCACCACGACCACATCGATGCAGCCCGTCAGGGTGGCAGGGTTCAGACCCCGGTACAGCTCCTTCACCGTGACAAAGACTGTCTCAGCAAGCTGCCCCACGTAGTTCATTGTTTGAGACTGCAAGTGAGAGACGGGAATAAACTCAGGTGGGAGAAGAGGGCTCCAGCAGCTAAACACAATGTGAGTTTAGAAGAATCATTTCACAGCTGCAAACACAGCCCCATCATAGGGACAGCTAAGCCTCTAGGGAAAACGAGACAAACACATGAAGGGCCTTGATGAAGATGAGCCAGGGCCTCTGTAAGCACCAGAAAACAGGACAGAAACCAGAGCACTAGTTACTGCATCCAGCTTGGAGGAGAGACCTTTGCTATCAGGATGCACCATCACTTTTGCCCCTTGGGAGGGCAAATACTACCTTGCAACAACACTTTGCAATCAAGCTGTCAACATCCCATTCAAACAGGAATTTAGTTGTCAGGAGACCTCCTGCCCTACACTGTCCTTAAAAAAAGTGGAAAGACCAAGGAGCTGCTGAATACACCATGTGCTCACTTTGAACAAAATCCAAGCCTAACATTTTCCACTTGGAGGGGAAGGCATCCCACCTAGGCATTGCCAAATCAGCCAGACATGGTCCTTGTTAAAGACAGAACTCCCTGGTCTCCATGCCTTGGCCTCTGCTGCTGTCATCCATCTTCCCAGGGAATCCCAGCACAGGGGCTGTACTGCCTGGAGGACACCCGAACAGCTCTGCAACGCAGTTTTCACAAGGCACTGCTGCACTCTGAGGTTGCAGAGCTCCTGGTTTTCATTAGCAAGAAGGAAAGCCTTGCTTGCTGCTTGCTTCCTGCTCATCCTCTCGCCCACTCACGTCCTCCAGCTGCTCACTCCCCAGGTGGGGACAACACCCCTCCCCTGTGCTGGAGGAGAGGCATGGCTGCAAAGGCAGAGATTCCCGTGGTCCACGCTGGGGCTCACAGCACAGCCATTCCTCCAGCCCCACGGTGTGCCACACAGGCTCCAAACAGCTCTCAGGCAGCCCCTCTTCCTGCAGCCCACCGTGGGCACTGCCTCCAGGTCAACACATTGAAATCCCTGGAGTATTTTCTTGCAGATCTATGTTGGGTTGCTGTGTGGTGGTCCCAGCCCCTGGGCCAGAGGAGCCCCTTGCTCCACGTGCTCAGCACTCTGTGTCAGCAGCACAGCAGCATCAGCAGGACAACAGTCTTGGTGTCAGCACATCACACCAGAGGCTGAGCCCGGCTTCCTCAGCTGCGAGCTCTGCACCCCACCTTGCCCCAAGGAGAGGACAAGGGCACAGGATGACCGCTTCAGAAGGGCCATGGATGAACTAAAGGAAACCTCTGGTGCTGACAGCACCATCAGCCGATGGCATGGTGTCCCCCCAAGGGGTGGCTGCTGAGAGTTGGTTCCTTACCCAAAGGGACGAGGACAAGCAGGTGCCACCCGACGAGCCCTCTGCCCCAGCAGGCACCCAGCCTCTTCGATCCGTTTTGCTCAGCCCCATCCTGTTCCCAGACATCCCTCCTGGAAGGCGTCTGCACAGGGAGACACAGTCCCCGCTCCATGCCCCGTCCCCCCACCTCTCCCTGACAGTCGGGAACAAGCCCAAAGCCCAGATCCTCCCGGGGGGGG